CAGTGATGGTGAACCTTTTGAGCTCGGCGTGTCAGCATTTTGAAAAACCCTAACTTAACTCTGGTGCCGTGTCACATATAGAAATTTTTTGATATTTGCAACCATAGTAAAACAAAGACTTATATTTTTGATATTTATTTTATATTTAAATGCCATTTAACAAAGAAAAATCAACCAAAAAAATGAGTTCGCGTGTCACCTCTGACACACGAGTCATAGGTTCGCCATCACTGATCTAGTGTTATGTCCAAGAGGTCAACCAGATGGCAGGATCTGGTAACCAGAAAAAGTTACAAACAGCTGAAGGAGATCGGCTGAGAGGGGGAGAATTGGCAGGGACAGAGAAAGTATACAATGATCATCATCTTTAAGGAGTAAAGGATGTGTGAGAGGCAAGACATTACAAGCTCTAGAAGAGAAAATAGGGCCCAAGGGAAAGAGAGTTACATAGAAGCAGACTTCAGTTTGATATGAGGGAGGGGAGTTAGTAGTGAAGAAGGCCTGTTTCTCACACTCAACTTGTCCAAGACTGAACTTATTAGCCAAACCTGTTTCTCTTCTTTATTTCCTTGGTTGCTCATTCACCCAGTTGCTCAAGCTAGGAAGCATGGCAACCATCCACCTCTTCTCCTTACTGAAACCATAAATTCAAACACCAAGATCTACTGATTTTACATCCTAAATTTTCCCAATTTATTTATGACTATCAGAATTGCCACAATTCTGAGCTAAGACATCATCTTTCAACTGCACTACTGCCAAGAGTTTTCAATTGGTCTCCCTATATCTATTCTTGGCCCCTTTCAATCAGTTAAGCTCACACTAAAATCTAATCCTATTACCATCTCATTTACATTTCTAAACCCTTCTATGGCTCTCTACTGAACTCACATCTTCAGCCACATTGGCCTTCTTTCAGTTCCTTAAACGCACCTGGCAGGCTCCTTCAGTCTCAGAGCCTCTAACCAGACTGGTCTCTCAGTCTACAATGCTCTTCACTGTGTCCCTGGCGCTGAGTCAATGCAAATACTCATCCTTAGGGCTCAGCCCAAACTCTTCCTCAAGGAAGCTTTCCCTTATTCCTCAAACTAGGTGAGATCTCAAAGTACCTAATACTATGTTGCTCTTATCACAACCATCAAAACATCTGTATGTTATTAGCTATTTAATGTCAGTCTTCCATTCTGCTGGCTAATAATTTCCAGTTTGGTAAGTATTTCTGCTAGTTCCCAGGGTACCTCACAATGCCTAACATAGGGAGGTACTCAATAAATATCTGCTAATGAACAGAGCAATGGTGCAATGAACACAGACGAATAAAAATTCCTACAAAAGAGATCCGAAAGAAACTGGGAAAAACAGCAAGAAAATCTGTTAAGTCCCACATCAATGCAAAGCAGGAAATAATCAGAAACTTAGAAAACTAGGGGATAGGACTTTAGCCTAGTAAAGGTGAGGTCCAGTGACTCCAAAGACTGAAGCACAAATATGCTGCAGAATAGAATACAGGTTTTGACAGGCTCACAGTAGCACCTTTTGATGACTTGAGAATTATAAAAGGACATCCCTGTGGTGCAGTCCTAGTTCAAGTGACTGCACCTTAGATAAATTGAACGTTTTACTGCCCTTTGTGCTTTCCTTTTTTCAGTTTGCTTCTAAGAGTAAGTAGCCCTACCTGGTCTTGGCAACTGAAGCCACAGGATTAGTACTAAGATTTCAAAAGAGGTTGTTTTATTTGTGTTTGAGGGGAAGGGGAAGCAAGAGATAAAATAGCCCCCTTTCAAAGAAAAATCTGAACCTATCACTTCCTAGCAGCAAACAATCTGTAGATTTACTACTTAAAGCTAGTGGCTCCAAATACCAAAACCTAAAAGGACTGTCACTGGGACTCTGGACTCTTTACTGTATATTCTTTTTTTTTTTTTTAATATATTTTATTGATTTTTACAGAGAGGAAGGGAGAGGGATAGAGAGCCAGAAACATCAATGAGAGAGAAACATCGATCAGCTGCCTCCTACACGCCCCCCACTGGGGATGTGCCCGCAACCAAGGTAAATGCCCTTGACCAGAATCAAACCCGGGACCCCTGAGTACGCAGGCCGACGCTCTATCCACTGAGCCAAACCGGTTCTGGCATCTTTACTGTATATTCTGAGTAAGAAGAACACATGAGAAAGGATAAAATTTAAACCTTTAGAGACTCTAAGCATTTAAAAGACGGTGATACCTCTATTTTACCTTACCTTTACATCAATGCCTCCCCAATTTTAATTCAAAACACAAACAAAATTAAACTGTAAATGATCTGATTTCCCCATGATGACTACTTAGATTTTTTTTTCTTGCAAAGTATCAAGTTCTTTCAAAAGTTCCTTCTCTATGGCTTGCTGGTATTTTAAGCACATGCTTGCTGGATGAATGGATGGATGGATGGATGGATGAATAAATGATGGATAAATGATGGATGCTGAACTAGGGTGTGCTATGGGATATTGGGCAAGGCCCCTATGCTCTCTCATCTTCAGTTTCCACATCTATAAGATGAAGAGCTTGGACTAGTTTTCCAGGATCTATTCTGGTCTTTTTTTCCTCAAAGCATAGACAGCTTGGAAACCTAATTGGTTAGAAATGTAGGTCTGCCTTCAGGAAGACATAAATGGGGTTGTTACAACCTTTATGAGCAGAAAGACAGGGCCCATCAAAGTCCCGTTAGCTAATAGGCTCAGATCCCATACGAGCTGCCCTCAAACAGTCATGCATAAAAACAATGAAGAGAATGTTCAATTTTCTCTACTTCCCCAAGCCAGCACTTCCTGAACCATGCTGTGGAACACTAACTCTGTGTGCTGTTAATAAGTGTTCCTAAAAAAAAAAAAAAAAGGCGCTTTAGTACTATGAATGTTAGGTACAGTAGGTTAAACAAATTCAAACAGGTTTCTTTATGTAGGGCTTCTCAGAGCTATCCTATATAATAAAAGGGTAATATGCAAATTGACCCTAACAGCAGAACGACTGGGAATGACTGGTCACTATGACACACATTGACCACCAGGGGGCAGATGCTCAATGCAGGAGCTGCCCCCTGGTGGTCAATGCGCTCCCACAGGGGGAGCTCTGCTCAGCCACAAGCCAGGCTGACGGCTGCCAGCACAGCGGTGGTGGTGGGAGCCTCTCCCGCCTCCTCAGCAGTGCTAAGGATGCCCAACTCCAGCTTAGGCCTGCTCCCCACTGGTAAGTGGACATCCCCTGAGGGCTCCCAGGCTGCCAGAGGGATGTCTGACTGCCAGCTTAGGCCCGATTCCCCGGGGAGCGGGCCTAAGCCAGCAGGTGGACATCCCCCGAGGGGTCCCGGACTGCGAGAGGGCACAGGTCAGGCTGAGGAACCCCCCGAGTGCACAAATTTTTGTGCACTGGGCTTCTAGTTAGTAATAAATACCTACCAGGTCTTGTGCTAGGTCCTCATTACAGGCATTTCATTTACTCTTTATTTTACAGGTGAGAAACTAAGGCAGAGAGGTTAAGAAACTGACATAATATCACACAGCTCATAAGCGATGGCACTAGATCTTAAATCAAGGTTTGTTTATCATCAAAGTAAGTTCTCTTAATCACCATATGGTACTGGCTTCCATTGGCCTCCAAATGCTAACAGATCCCACCAATCTCTAAGAGGGGTCTCACAAAATTATTTGTCCATGGACCTTTTATTATTTATTTCTCTGCAAGTCTATTTTTCTCTAAATACCTGTATTTCTACTAGTCAACAGAAGGCCACTCAATCCTTCAAGAAAAAATTTCAACTAACTAGGAAGCAGAAATTAAAATATTAGAACTAGAGATGTAAAAGACCTTTCCATCCAAGACCCTCATTTTCCAGAAAAGCTTGTTAACTTCTGAAAGAGGCAGTAACTCAGAGTAAAAGGAAGAATTAGATTCTAGATCTTCTAGGTTCTAGCATATAAACCTTTCTCATTATGCCTCTAAAACATTTTTATGTCTGAGGTTTTCAGCATATAACCCTGTTTATAACTGATGTAAAGATTTCCTCAAAGCAAGTGACTTTGGTTTACCCAATATTTAGTCTTGTCTTTACTATTAAACTGCAACAAAAAAATAAAGAAACCGCAAAGAACTGTCAAAGGTAAAGGTCCAAGGAAACATTACCTGAGAATATCATAACTGGCAAAGTCCCATTGGTAGAGGCCCAGTGCTGAACTACAGACGATGTATTTGCCATCAAAATGAAGTCTTGGCTGCAGGCAGATACTTCTATCCTCAGAGACAGACAGTGTCTTTAAGCACTTGCAGTTGATTTCTCTCCCAATTGGCCAAATCTACAGATAAAAGAAAATCAGGAGAGATGACAGATGCATCACCATAGAAAAGCATGTTCCCTTAATGTGGCTTTTGCCTGCTGAAGTCAGATATAAAGTGAAGTAAACTGGAAAAACAGGTTTTACAGTTGAGTTCAAACTCTGATTCTGCATGTATGTGCTGTGCTGCCTTGGATAAAATACTTAATCTCTCTGAACCTCAGTTCCCACAATGAGGATAATAAATGCCTACCACATGGAACAATTTTAAAGGTGCACTAAAAACATATGTAAGATTGCTCTGTTAACTTTTTGCAATTTTTTTTATTACACAAATAAATGTTTATATTTTCATAGTTCAGACCTAAGAATTAAGGAGGGTAGAAGATACATGTCATAAAAAAACAGAATACATTAAAGATTATTTTCTGTTCTTCATTTTAAAATTAGAGTTAGCCCTGGCCTGTGTGGTTCAGTTGGTTGAGCATTGTTCCATGCACCAAAAGGTCGCCAGTTCGATTCCCAGTCAGGGCATATGCCCAGGTTGGGCTCGATCCGAGGAGGCAGTCGGTGGATGTTTCTCTCACATTGTGTTCATTCTCTCCTCTCTCTCTCTCAATAAAAAACAAAACACACACATGCACACATAAAACAAATAAAAATCAGGGTTAGAAATTGCCCATAACATAGAGATAATGAATAATTCCCCTTGCAATAAGTTTAAAATGTCTTGGACTAAGACATTTCTGTCTACCATGAAATTTCATTTTAATTTAATTTTAATGTTCTTATACTGGCCAGTCTTCTTTGATGACAAAATAATAGAGAAAAAAACCTTACCTTGATCTCATATTTGTCTGCACTTAAGAGGATGTAGTCTCCAGGGCTGTGCAAGAGAGACTTAACTTTGCACTTCTGCAAAACCACCTAGAAATATAAATATCCACATTACAGAAAGATCTTTTTAATGCTACTGTTACCTTGCTTTTTTAAAAAAATTAAAATATGAAAAAGAGCTTGAAATGATATTGTATGCTAAAGTAACTGAGCTAAAACTCTACGACCAAGTTAACCTCCACCAAGGGTTTTACTACAACCAGAGTCTCTAAATTATCAGCAGAATCTAAAATGTCCAATGTTGGCAGCATTTAATGTTGGCTTTGGTCTGGAAGCAAACATTAGGACTGGTTTTAAAAACTGTAAAATGTTACTTTATAGAAAATGTGAGGAACAGAAAAAAACCCACAGACATAGAAAAAAATACAAATCATCTGTTTTCATAAGCATGTGCATTATAAAGGAAAAAGCACTGGACTTAGGACTAAAATCTGCCATATATTGACTTTGTAGCATTGGACAAGACCACCTAATCTTTTTCTCATTTTCCTCATCTTTAAAATAGGGGATGAGACACTTATTAACTCTCATAACTGCAATGAAAATGAACTAAAGCAATGTAAATAACAACATAATAATGCAACAGAATCCAACATTCTATTAGCACTTGGGGTAATCTATAAATACTAGGTTCTAGTTATTTTTTGTAGTAAATCAGCACAAAGTAAGCTGGGAGGTCAGGCTTACTCATTTAGAAGCCTAGGTTGCACATTCAGCTGAAACTGACAGACCTGCTAAGTGCCAGGCACCCTACTGGTAATGTCCCCCTCATCTCTTTTAATATTCACAGGAACATTTAGCAGATGATGAAACTCATGCCCTGAAGGTAAGAGGGACTTACCTAAGACATCATAATCAGAGTCCTGGCCCCAAGTCCACTGTTTTTAACACAACACCAAATTGCCTTATATAACTTCTTTAAATACTCAACGTGCCCTGGCCCATGTGGCTCAGTTGATTGGAGCCACCAAATCTCATGCACCAAAAAGTGGCAGGTTTGATTCCTAGTCAGGGCACATACCCAGGTTGCAGGTTCAATCCCTGGTCGGGGCATGCACAGGAGGCAACTGTTTCTCTCTCACACTGATGTTTCTCCCTCTCTCCTTCTCTCTCCCTTCCTTTCTCTAAAAAAATAAAAATATAACACATAAATACTCAATGTGCCCAATACAGGAGTATTTTCCCAATTTATTATGATGGTAAAACAGGCATAACATAAAATGTACTATCTTAACAGTTTTTACAGTTTAGTGGTCTTATCAACCTTCTCACAAACTGCTCTCCTTTAGCTCCACCTATTTCAGAAAGACACAATCATCATCCAATCTAAAACCCACTAGTCACCTCTGACTCTCCTCTTTGTTCCCCATGAGTCGGCAAGTTTAACTGGCTTTTCTTAAAGACACGTGTGCCCTTCTCTTTCTTTATTGCCGCAAAACTCCAAGCTGTGGATATCTTTTGCTTAGAATACTGCAAAAGCCTAAGTGGCCACCTGTATCCATCTGTGCCCCACTCAAACCCACTTTTTTCTTAGCAATTATTTTCTTCCTATATGTGCCCTGACTGGGGATATAACCTGCAACCTTGACAAATCAGGACAATGCTCTAACCAACTGACCTACCCAGCAAAGGAGCAGTTATTTTCTTAAAATATAAATCACACCAGAACCTTTCACAGTACATATTCACCAATGCTTTCTGCTATACTTGTGATATCCAAAATCCTTAATATGGCCGAGTCATACATAATGGCCACTGTCCTACACCTCCCCCAAGAACCGCACAGCTCCACTGGCCTTCTAGGTCATCAAATGTTCTCTGTTCTTTTCCACACCAGGGCCTGTGCCACACTGCACCCTCTGAAACACTCCACTACACAGCTACCTCCAATTTATTCTTCACATTTTGTCCCTTCTCAAAAAGCTTTCCCTGAGCAAATTAGATACCTTCCTAGATTTTTTTCTCAGACAACACTACACTTTCCCTCATAGCACTTAACACAATGTGTAATTATGTATTTACACGTGAAGTTACTATTTATTAAGTATTTCTCCTTCTAGACTAACATTTGTGTCAGGCCTCAGTCTGTGTGGCTCACTCCTGCATCCTCAGCCCCTCACAGAATAGCATGGCAGGTTCAAATGTTTCTGCATGGCATTTCCATTATTAATACTGCATTCCAAAGAAGCATCGAACAGACTGTCAAACTACAGCGGGAAGGTAGGGGAGGGTTGGGGGGGTAAGAGATCAACCGAAGGACTTGGCATGCCATGTATAAACATAACAATGGACACAAGCCACTGGGGGGTATGGTAGGCCAGAAAATGGTCAAGGGGAGAAAAAAAGGGGGACATATATAATACTCTTTGTAATACTTTAAGCAATAAAACAAAATTAAAAAAACAAAAAATAATAATATTTGATTTTAAAAAAGAGCATACAATGTGGTAGGCCATCTCTTCAATAAATGGTGTTGGGATACTTGAACAGGTACATGAAAAAAACACAAAAAACCTAGACCACCAACTATACTGTACACAAGAATAAACTCAAACTGAATAAAAGACTTAAATGTAAATCATGAAACCATAAATATCCTAGAAGAAAACATAGGCAGTAAAATCTCAGACATCTCTCACAGCAATATTTTTGCTGATATATCTCCTAGGGCGAAGGAAACAAGGAAAATAAACAAATGGGACTATACCAAACTTAAAAGCTTCTAAACAGCAAAGAACCAACAACAAAAGGAAAAGGGAACCCACTGCATGGGGGAACATATTTGCAATGACACATCTGATAAAGGGTTAATTTCCACAACATATAAAGAACGTATACAACTCAACACCAGGAAGACAAACAATTCAATTAAAAATGGGCAAAGGACCTAAGTAGACACTTCTCC